CTTTGCAATTGCCAGCTGCACTTGTCGCTGCCGCTGCCGCTGCCACTGCCACTGCCGCTGCCTGCTGACCAAAACGAATCAATATAAATGCGTCGCTGTCGCCGTCGTCGTCGCAGCTTGCCGGCAACGTCGACGTCGTCAGCAGACGCCAAAGTTGTCGTCTTTTCGCGTTTGTTGCCGCTGTCTTTGGCTTTGGCATTGGCTTTTGGTTAGTTGCTTCGCTCCTTCCACATCTCCTTCTCATGCAAACAGACTCACTTTTCACTGCAACATGTTGCTGACTAACTGACTAACTGACTGACTGACTGACTGACTGACTAACTGACTGACTGAGTGCATGGACTGACCATGAAGTTGTCTACTTGGGGATTATCAAATACAACAAGCCGGAGACAATTTTACGCTTAATACGATTTAAAAGATAGCTTAATTGTATTCCTCATGTACTCCAATGCTAATTAGTGCCACAGGTAAAACATTCAAGAGTCTTTCAAACACTTAACTCAAAAACCACTTTGAAGATGTTCAAGTAGCTGAGACTCAAAAATCTCTCAAAAACTTTTAATTTCAATCAGAAGCTAAAAGCCAAAACAGATTACGAAAAAATCAGATAACTTCGCTTACAAGATGGGGATCTTTTATTATTCCCGTCCAGCCAGATAATCACAGAAGAGGAAGGCGATGGTAAAAAAAAGATAAATTACAAATAATGTTAAGGAACTATTAAAAGTAAAGTTAAATGTAAAATTATATCGGATAATTGGAATCAAATAGGATAAAGTTAAATGGAAATAGGAAAAATTAATAATGAAAGAGAATCGAATAGAGCGAGAGCGAGAGAGAGAGTGAGAGAGAGAGAGAGAGAGAGAGAAAGAATGAGATGGAGAGAGAGAGAGAGAGAGGTGAGCTCTCAATAGGCATTTCAAAATGTATTGAATAATATTGCGGAGCTAAGGGTAAAGGAAAAAATGAGAAACCCTCCCCATGGTGGCAGATCTTTTAGCCTGCCCGGCATGCTATGTCCCTATTCATAGCGGGATTTGTAAATTCTTAAAGGTATCTTGAAAGCACAGATTTTTAAGAGGGAAAGAGAGTTCAGTGGAGAACCAAATAATCAGGAACAAGGGGCGGTAATCAACTTATGTGGAAAGACAATGTTGAGGATCATCCTACAGTTCTTTAAAGACCGAAGATTAAGATGAAGTTGCCTGCTTATAAATTTATATATATTCTAAATAGTATATATATATATATATATATATTTAAGGATACTCTGAACCCAGGCATCTGAAAATTGGACTAAGAGCTATGAAGCAGTCGCAACTTATTCAACTAAGTTGGCAAGAAGTTTGTTGTTGTTGTTGTTTTTTTGCTGCTGCTTTAGTGTTGCTACTTCTTCTTCTTCTGCGAACTGGGCGGTCAACGTCTGATCAGCTTTCGCTTTTGTTGCATGGACAGCGCACAATAACAATTGGCATGTCTTGTGTGTGTTGCATAAAAAGCAATCTTTGGCATTTGACTGAATAAACATTTCTTTTTGGCGCTGAAATTGAAAAATATGTTAAAAGCTTAAGGCAAATAACAGCAGCAACAGCAACAACAACAACAACTGTGACAGTCCAGTCATGAGGCCAATGCCAGGGCTATGACTATTGTCGATCTCTTGTTGGGTGTGTGCCTTGCAAATGCAAAGAGTTTTGTAGACGTCGAGGCTTGAGACAAGCATAAAACTTGTAAAGCCATTAAAAGCGCTTACGCTGACAACAACAACAACAACAACAACAACAAGAAATCACGGATAAAATATAAGAAAAACAATCATTCAATATTGTTGGCGGTTCCCCTCTTTTTGGGGGCAGCTCATTAGCTTGATGTGTTAATTAAAGCGAAATGTTGCAAAAATGTCACAAAAATTGCAGCCAGAGAAAGCAAAAAAAAAAACAACAAATAAAACAAAAGACTTAGGCAACGAACTTGACAAACCATGACTTTCACAAAAGAATGCAAGCTGTAAGCGCAAATATGACTTTGACTCCCAACTTGGCACGCCCACAAAAAATGAGCATCGACTGCCTCCCTCTAACTATAGCACCAACCACCCCCCACGCCGCCTCCCCCCTCCCCCATCTCCCCCATCTTTTGTCGGCTTTGCTCTTTGCATGAGAAATTGATGCATGCAGCCAAGTTGAGCACTTGCTTAGTTTTCTTACAACCTCCTGCCCAGCGGGTTGGTGGTTAGGGGGGGAGGGGGGGGGGGGGCTGCCCCTCTAATTAGCGGAGTGTTGCGTGTTGCATGCTGCCATCCTCGCTGCGTATAAATTGTATCAATAAATTTATTGATTTCAACTGTTGCTGCTGACTTGTTAAATATTTTGCGAAACGATTTATGTTGTCAGCATGCAAATTTGTTTTTCCTTCTTTTTTCTTTCTGGTGCGCTGTGCGGCTTTAATGGATATGTCGCCGTGCAAAAAAAAAACTCATCACAGCAGAAGAAGCACAAGAAATTTGTTTGGCTTTGCCGTCTGGGTCCAGGCCAGGCCAGGCCGAAGCCGAGCCGAGCGGAGCGCACGTTTAACGACCAGAAATTAGGCAACCTTTCACTGGCCATAATAATAATTTCACCCACAACTTCCGGGCGCAGTGCGTAGAACACTTTCATTTGGTTTTGCTTTGCATTTGGGTTAGGGCAGTTTCGATTTGTACACCTGCCCTGCCCTGCCCTGCCGTGCCGTGCCGTGATGTGCATGCTAATGCTAGCGAAAACCGATCCACAATAAGACGGAGTGAAATGTTGTTGTCGCCCGGTGCATAGCTAATTAGATAAACAAATTTTTGTTTCATGTGCTTGGCTTGCCTACGGCCGCCGTCAGACTGCGCTCTCTGGCCACATTGTTGCACGCATTCGAAATTCGAATTATTGAAAAGTGAAAAAAAACAACAACAAACAACAGCAGCAGCAACTGCCGTTCAGTTTCTAAAAGAAAGTGAAAATCCAGCGCCGACAGAACGCACTGTACAAGCGTAAGGCGTAAGGCGTAAAGCGTGGAGCGTGGAGCGTAAAGTGCGCCGCCTAATGGCCGTCAACGTGGAGCGCCTTAGTTGGCCAGGACCAGCCAGATGCGCACAGCCAATCGAGCTGGGCTCGTGTCGTGCTCTGTCGTGCTCCGCCAACAGCCAAGCACGCAATAATAAATAAATACTCGATCCATAGTAAATGCTCCTTTCTGCCAAGATCTACAAATTCCCTGTGTAAAAGAAGAAATAAATCAAATTAGTACAAAATACATTGATAGACTTCACAGCCACCAAAATAACCTAGCCTATCCAGGTAGAAAAACGCTAAGGTTAAAATTTGCGAATTTTTCTCTATATGGTGTAAATCTGCCTTTCCAAAAACAAAACTTATTCAAAAACTTGATTATTGCGATCCATAGGAAATGCTCCTTTCTACATAAATAATGCAATCATACACAAAGATCTACAAATTCCTTGTGTAAAAGAAGAAATAAATCAAATTAGTACAAAATACATACACCAATATAAACTAGCCATAAATCTAACAGATAATAGTCGAGCAGTAAGAAGAGTTAAAAGAGTGCATATTCTCGATCTACCGGATCGATAAATTAAATAAGTACAACTTCAAGCTAACATACAAATTAAGTCAAATATAATAAAAATTAAATAAAAACAATTATTAAATTAATTAAAGCTAACTAAATTTACTTATTGTCTTAAGGCAAATAAATAAGAAAGGAAAAAAATCAAGCTGTTTCGCTCAATTTTACTTTTATTACAAATTAGCTTAACTGGGAGGGAAATCCATTTTCAAAGACTCGAATCGAGTTCTAGTAATTTCTCAATTTATCTAATAAGCTAAACATTATTCTGAGTTAAGAGTCCTATTCTTTATAGATATTTTATGCTGGTTTTGGCGACCTTTCCATATTTTAAATATTCCATTTTGGCTAGCTCGAATAAAAATAATAATTGGAAAGCAATTTAATATAATATTTCGCTTCCAATATATTATGTTAGATATATCGAAAGAAGCTGTAATTTTCGCTGATTACCTGAAACTTTGCGAAACTTAATTTGCTAACAAAACGTGATTTTTATTACACAAAAAACTTGGTTTTGGTGCTACTCTGACTTCCTGAAGGTCATAAAAAATGTCCTATAAACTGTAATAATTTATAATAGTCCGTTCTACTAAAAACATTTGTGGAATATTATAAAATATTTTATATATATTAATTTAGATTAGATAAATTATATTTGTGGGAAGAGCCAATTACTCTATGCCTTGTTGCTGGATATCGCTCAAATATGTCCAAATATTATTATTTTATTTATTATGCGATTAAGATGCGATTCACAGTAAACAATAAATTGGAATTCCGGGTTCAACAAGAAGATATAAATAAGTTTAAAGCAAATATAGATAAATATATCAATATATATAGATTTAAACTGAGTTCAGCCTGGCGACAGCGAACCTTTTTGAAGGCAGCATCAAGTCGAATCAGCTGTACAGAATCCGATACAAGTAGACCACATTTAGCTATAATCGATGTCATTTTGATTGGACTCTTGGTAATCTAGTGAGGCTATTGGATTAAATGTTTAAACGCGTGTTGGCTGGCACGTGCTCATCTCTGTGAGGCAAGTCTCGCTGATCCGCAGTCATTCACAAGTTTTGATGCTAAACAAATATGACTAATTATGGAGGAACTGAGACTGGCGCGCACTAAACCGCGCCACATAATGCGATCGTCGTCTTCGTTTCGACGTAGATGGGCAGTCCGACACACATCGTCTCCCGGCCCGACCGACTGCGCCGGCTGGCCAGCGGCAGCCAGTAACCAGTTGGGGATAAACAACAAACAACATACAAACATACAAACATACAACTAGCAACATACAACATACAACAGACACCAACACCCGCAATTTCGCCAATTCGTGGAAAAAAGAAATATATAAAAATAAGACAAACCATGCAATTGCAATTGTATGAATGAAATGAGTTTTACGCGACGCTCCTCCTCCTCCTCCTCCTCCGTCTCCTCCTCCTCCATAGTTTTCGCTGTATAAGGCGCTGCTCCGCTAATCTGGCTCCCTGCCTCGCCCGCAGCTCTGGTGGCAGCTAGACAGTTGGATGGCATCAGGCCACGCCCACATCGCATGCAGAGCACAGGCGCCGAGGAGGAGCCGCCACGGACCTTACGCTGGGGCATTGCGCCCGTCAATCTCATGGCCGAAGACTTTGCCACGGCCCTGAGCGTCCTGCCCGCGCACCGGCACAGCATCACCTCCTGCATGGACGCGTATCGATCACAGGCGCTCTCCTTTTCCAACAAGCACCGTGTGCGCAGGGTTTACACCAGCTTCGAGGATCTGGCACGTTGCCCAGATGTGGGTGAGTAAACTGAATACGGATGGAGCTAAAGAACACATTTTAAGCCTAGAACATTTTTTTATTAAATATTTTATTATAAGATATAAAGATGGAAATCGGTTCAGTTCAAGTAGGGAATAGTCAGTTGTCTTTCCATTTTACTTTAAATAGATAAATATAAAATAATCTTCCATAAAAAGAAGCTATCTTGCCAAATTGCTATTAATATTATTATTATCATTATTATTATTATTATTGATATTATTCTTATTGTTATTATTATTATTATTATTATTATTATTATTATTATTATTATTCTTTCTATTATTATTATTATTATTATTATTATCATTATCATTATCATTATTATTATTATTATTATTATTTTATTATTATTATTATTATTATTATTATTATTATTATTATTATTATTATTATTATTATTATTAATATTACTATTATTATTATTATTATTATTATTATTATTACTATTATTATTATTAAAACACCATTAAAATATATTAAAATTGAAGGCATAGAGTTTATCTATTGGAAAAATGAGAGTAGCTATATTTGTAATTTTTCAGACGCCGTTTACATATCACCGCTGAATGCAATGCACTGTGAACTGTGTCACCTGATGCTCAACCATGACAAGCACGTGCTGTGCGAGCAGCCGCTGGGCATGACTGAGCAGCAGGTGGTGGAGCTGGTTGGGAAGGCGAGGGCCCGCGGCTTGTTTCTAATGGAGGGTATTTGGCCGCGCTGCATACCCGCCTACCATATTCTGCGGCATGAGATCATGCGCTGTAAGCTGGGTAGGATCTTCGCAGTGGACTGCACATTGGGTTGGCCGCTGCCCATCGCTTCGCCGAAGGCGGCGTCATACGCAGGTGTCGCCAAGGATTTGGCACCTTACGGCATACAACTGGCGCTGTGGGTCTATCGAGAGGTGCCGCAGCGTCTGAAGGTATCGGGCAAGCTCAATCGCGAGGGCATTGATGTGGCAGCCAACATTGAACTGATCTTTGAGGGCAATCGGAGAGCTCGGCTGGTGCTCAGCGCCGAGCAGGAGCTCCAGAACACGGCCACCATACGTGGCACCAAAGGCAGCGCGACCGTAAGTTGCTCGGATTAACAATGTAAAAATAAAGCAAATTCTTACCTTAATCCTTGCAGCTGAACAGCCTGTGGTGTCCCACGGAATTGACATTCGAGAATAGGGACTTCGAGTTCGAATTGCCCGTTGCGGAACGGTCGACGCACTTTAACAATCGCATTGCCTTGTGCTACGAGGCGGAGGAGATGCGCAGCTGCATACTGGACGGTCTTACGGAGAGCAACCTCTTCAATCACAACGAGAGTCGCCTGATGGTCCACTTGACCAGCCAAATAAAGGAGATGCTTAAGACAGATGACCAGGACGCAGCGGTCCAGCAACAGCAGGCAGTTAACTAAGGCCCGATTTGAAACTCAATAGGGTTAAGGCTGTGTACAAATCTTGGGCGCCAACCTAGTCCCATTTTCAGTTCTTTTGGAAAATAAATAAATATTAACTTAAATTAGTATTTCATCCAGCGTTATTCCCACTTTAGCCAAGACACGCACACCAGATAGAAAAACTAGCTTAAGACTTAGCACAGACAACAATCAAGCTACAATTGCACAGCTTTTTTCCAACACTGCACCGCTTGAGGCTAGTACGCTGAGCAGGCCACATAAGCTTCACTCACTTATCGTGGAAAGCTTCGTGAATCTTCCATTGCGATGTTTCTCGAATTTTGAACTTTTTTATTTGTCTTTGCTTAGTTCGAGAAAGCCCGTAGTGTTGAATGACTAACGCGTCTGGCATTCTTGGCCCGTCGTTGATAAGATTGAACACATCTTATCACCGGCATGTTCGATTCGTAAATAATTGCATTTATATAAACAAATGGGCAAACAATTAAATTAAAAGCTTTTTCCTAAATTTAAACCAATGACGATTGGGGGGAACTGGGTCGGCGGACAGAGGAGCGCAAACTGACGCATAGACAGGCCTTCATTCTTAAATACATACATACACATGTACATATCTATTAACAGAAACACAAACATACACACTCACATACGTGCACACATACACGTCTGCCCAGCTGTTCGAGGAGGACAAGTATTCATTTTGTTTTCGTCTATGTTGACACTTTATTTGTAACGGAAAATTTGTGGCAATGAGCCGGCCAATGACTTGAAAATTCAACATGTGTTCGCTACCTGATGGTGATGCAACATAAGGTGCACTCTCCGAGCCATTGCAACGTGGCCTTATGTAAGAACAATTGCATGCATTCGCATTTAAATATATGGAAAAACGTGTGTATTATGAAAGCCATTTAAAATAATTTAAATAGCCGGGGCAAATATATGTATATGAACATACATGTTTGCCGTTGCCATTGCTTTTTTGTTTTTGTTTACCGCGCATTTTGTAAACACAACAAAAATTTAATTGCGCAGCAAAAATTGTTAAAAGCTTTCCCAAAGAACTTTTCGCTCACACATTTTGCGCTGCGAGAGAGAAAAATGGGAAGAGCAGAAAAACAGACAGCCCAATGGTGAATGGCATCGAAACTTCCAGACTACAAGTAACCTTTTTAAATCTAAGTAGGCTTTTTGTGGTGAACTTCACTTTTGGTACAACCATTTGGAAATCGATTCATTATTAGCCAAATATACAAACTATAAACAGTTCATTTGGAGCTAAATAACAGAAAAAGTCGACCCAAATTAAAATACCGTATTTTATGTGTAAATCGTGGTAGATCAAAAACTGCTTTTCTGAAACACAAAACAGGTAAAACTATAATAAAATGTGGGAACAATAATAAGTTTTCTTATAGTAAAAAATGGGCTATCAATTTTCCCGCAGGGTTGACATTTGTGAGAGAAGCAACGAATAAGAGAGAGAGAGAGATAGACAGAGACAGAGAGCAAGTCTGCAAGCTTCTCGCCAACTGTGCGAGAAAAAGCTCTGGCCGGGTATAAAACCAGGTGTTTGAAAGCAAGAAAAAGTTTAATTTCCATTTGGATTTTGCTGCGACAACATCGAGAACCTGTGGAAGTAAAGCGTTTACCAAAACAATAACTTCCAGCCAAAAACAACCTGCAAAGAGAAAAAAGTCAATAAGAAGCCCTTTGAACTCTTCAAAAGCAAGATCTCAATTATATACATATAAGAATCATAAACATCATGTCTGAGGCACACTTTGATGAATACGAGCACTACAACTACGACCATGGCAAACACATCTTTTCGGGCCACAGCGGCAAGCAGCGCTCCAAGAAGGAGGCCAGCGAGCACACCAACCACTTTGACCCGTCTGGCCACTCGCGAAAGCTTTTGACCAAACTGATGAACACCAACAACAACAAGAAAACGGTGAAGAACTGATATTACAGGCACGCCAAGGCAGAGACACAACAACAACAGCACAGAAAAAAATAAAATACTGAATTTAAGCTTCAAAAGAAAAGAAAAAGGTAGAAATTGAAAATTAAAGCAACTGAAAAGGCAGCCCAAAGGAGAGAAAGGGAAGAAGGAGAACAAAAGCTGCTTCGGCGGCAGCTGGCACTGTCGGCTGACGCTGGAAAAGAACGCTGGAATTACGTATTGAATAGTTCTAGTTTTAACACTTTCCTAAATTTAATACATATACTTACAGACTTATAATTTTAGTGTTAAGCTTAGTGCGTTTCAAATTATGAAGTTTGCTTTAGCTATAACTTATAAAATAAAAACAAAACAAAAACTAAAACAAACAAACGGCATTTTATTGCGAATACTAAAAACGCTTGCATTAGAGTTGGAGTTCAGATAACTCACACACTCACAAAAGAGCTTTTCATGTATTGGTTGCATCGCGCATTAGTGCATATTTATAGCCTTTCAGTTGAACTCATTTGCACTAAGCTGAACGCCTTGCGATCATCGTCAACCACATGTTTTCCTTTGTTCTTGTAATCAATAAACTTCAATGTAAAATGCGCACCTATTATATGTATGTATGTACTATGTTATGAATGATCGTATATACAGTTAAAGCGGAAATCGTGGCCTGACCTTATATAAAAAGTTTAACTACCCGTACACGCTTTTATCAACATATTTATTTTCCGGTTACTGCAAATTATAAATAAAGCTAACTTATTTATTCGAAATCAATTAAATTTAATTATATATCATATACAGACATATATCATGCTGTAGCCATTATGTCAAATCATATGCAAATGGAATACGGTATATTCTAGTAATGATGATCTGTTAACTCTAATAAGACAAACTGTTGATGCCATACACATTCTGTTAAATGGTGAGTTTTTCAAATGCATGGTTCTTATAGCAGCGAGCTTTTTGTGCACGCCCTGCCAGCTGTCACATGTGCATAACAGTCGTTCAGCAGCTCAACGGTTACACAGCTGTTCGTTCGGTGTGTTCTATTTCTAAGGAGGCTAGTTGTATTCCATAATATTAATTTTTATTTACTTTTCACTAAAAAGCATTCAAGTAACAGTTCATATTTGCAAAATTCATTGCAGTGTTAAATTACAAGACAAACGTGAGTAGCCAACGGTCGCCGAACTCGAACAATGCTAAAAATCAATAAGGGGAAGGGCAGCGCTTAGGTGACAAATGGCTCCCCCCGGCATTTAGCGATTCGGTGTTCGCGCTCTGAACTCTGCGTGTGATAAGGCCCGCCGACTATTACACAATGTTCTCTATTTGCAGTTTTTACAAGCTGCACACATTTGGAAGGCCCACAAATGGCAACGTTCCTCAACATGAACTCAGTTAAGCTAAACAAATGGCAAGTGGCGCTTCTATTGGGCACTCCCCTGGCCATTGGCCTGGGCATGTATGTTCTCAACAGAAGTTCACGCGATGAGGCCAAGCGCGGCAAGGCTCAAAACAAGGATGCCGGCAAGACGCGCCAGAAGGGCAAAATAGAGGAATCGCTGTCCATAGATGGCACCGCTCCGGATTCGGAACTGGAGCGCAAAAAGAAGTCGGCAGAGTTGGGCGAGCAGCTGTCGCCGCTGAAAGAGGCCAACAATTACAAAACGGAGGGCAACAATTGCTACCGAAATGGCAAATACGATGAGGCCATCAGCTTTTACGACAAGGCCATAGACAAGTGTCCCACCGAACATCGCACGGACATGGCAATCTTTTATCAGAACCGTGCTGCCTCCTACGAGATGCTGAAGAAGTGGAATAAGGTCAAGGAGGATTGTTCCCTCTCGCTGGAGTACAATCCGCGCTATGCCAAGGCCTATTACAGGCGAGCACGCGCCCACGAGGCCACCAAGGATATGATTGAGTGCTTGGACGATGTGACCGCCACCTGCATTCTGGAGATGTTCCAGAACAACAATACCATCATGTTCGCCGATCGAGTGCTCAAGGAAACGGGCCGCCTGGATGCCGAAAGGGGTCTTCGCGACCGTGTGCCTGTCGTGCCCTCGGCAAGCTTCATCAACACCTACATGCGATCCTTTATAGCCGATCCGCTGCAGACAATAAACGTGACGCCTTCGGCTTTGGCAGATACACCGCCACGCGGCTTTCTGCGCGCCCGACAAGCATTCGAGGAGCAGAAATATGATGAAATTATTGCGGCATGCACCGAGGAAATTGAATCTTCCGAGGCGGAATCACAATACAAGGTGGAGGCGTTGCTAATGCGCGGCACATTCCACTTACTCTGCGGCTCCTTCGCCGACAGCAAGGTCGACTTCGATGCCATTCTAGCCAACGGTAAGAGGGGCAACTACACTATGTTTAGGAAGAAGTCACAGTTTAAATATTTTAGATGATGCGGACACGACGCTGCGTGCCTACGCGTACATCAAGCGGGCCGCGCTTTTCATTCAGACGGAGGAGCGCGAAAAGGGACTGGCCGACTTTACGGAAGCCGAGAAGCTGAAGCCCGACAATCCGGATGTGTATCACCAGCGTGCACAGATCCTGCTGCTACTGGAGCAGATCGAGGCAGCGCTGTTGGAGTTCGACAAGGCGGTTCGCCTGGCCCCACATCATGCGATTGCCAATGTGCAGAAGTGCTATGCTGAGTATCGTCTCTCGCTGATGTCCGGCGATCAGAAGCGCCTGGAGCGCGTTATCCAAGACTTTGAAAAGGCAATTGAAAAGTTCCCCGACTGCGTCGAGTGCTACAGTCTGATGGCCCAGGTACTGGCCGATCAGCAGCAGTTCCCTCAGGCGCAGCAGTTCTACGAGATGGCCATGAAGAGGGCGCCCACAAATCCGGCACTGCTCGTCCATCAGGCCATCATGATGCTGCAGTGGCGCGGCGACATTGAGGCCGCCGTCACGCTGCTAAATCGCGCCATCGATGTGGATCCGAAATGCGAGCTGGCCTACGAGACGCTCGGCACCGTGGAGGTGCAGCGCGCCCAGCTGCAGCGTGCCGTTGATCTGTTTGAGAAGGCGCTGCTCTATGCCAAGAGCCAGGCGGAGCTGGTGCATGTCTACTCGTTGCGTAATGCGGCGCTAGCTCAAATCAATGTCACCCGCAAGCTGGGCATCGACATGAATTCCGTGTCGGCCATGGCCCAGTCTGGCTTTCTTTCACAAGCGCCCATGTAGAGGGGAGCACGAAGGGCAGACGCAGCTTGAAGCCAGAGCCACAGCATTTACGCGTTCGTTGTGCTACCTATGTTAATACAGTTAACCGCTCCCCTCCCCCACCCCCAAAAATAATCAAACAAATCAACCGATAAGCCCTGTTATATATACATATAAAAATATGGAAAATCCCGTTTTAGTTATTGTGCTCCTAGTTTTAGCAATGAAAGTCGACGATAATGAAACTAACGTCTCTTAAGTATCCTTTCCTGTATTACGATATACATATATACATAGATATATATATATAAGTCAAAACTATGCCTAGATTTAAAGCAATATAAACACATGTAATTAACCATTGAGAGCTCCGGATAGGTTCGGTGGCCGATTTCCCAACCGATTATAGGACTGCACATCACCCGATATGTACCCGGCACAGACTAGCCATAGCGCCGCACGGATGCTGCTCACGATGGCATACTCGGATTCCAGTTGCTCCAACAGCGGCATCAGCAGGCCGGGCAGAGCGCCCAGACCGTTCGAGATGCCCATCAGGGTGCCAGCGAAATTCGGACTCATGTCCAGGGGCAGCAGCTTGATGCCCGCGTAATAGGCCCCAAAGGCCATAATGCTCCAGGCACTCGACCAGGTCTCTTTGTCATGGAGCATGTACATGGAGGCGCTGACAAAGACCAGCCACGACATGAGGCGCCGCGTCTGCGTGCGGCTCAGTATCCCCTCGGCAATCAGATAGTCACTGAGCGTGCCGGACGTGAGCGATGCCAGCCAGCTGCAGAGATGCGGTGCCGCCAGCTGCACGCTGGCCTCCAGTTCCATCCAAAATGATTTGCCCTTGGCTTCCAGTTCTTGTAGCAGCTGCTCCAGCTCCTTGGCCAGCTCGTGCTGATTCCAGTCATGCTGCATGTTGGCCGCTATCAGCGCCCAAATGGGTGCATTCATGAGCATGCTGCTCCAGGGTACAACCTCATTGGCGTCCGCATCATCCGTCACGAGCTCCTCGCTCACCTGACTCTTGATATATTCGCGCTCGGTGCTTTGTATATACGGCGAGGCGTCCGGCTTGCTGTAGCAGACCAAGACCTGTAGGAAAGGGCAATCAGTTCGAAATCCTTGTTTCCTGCCTGGGAGAAATTTAATCCTTCCTTATTTCCTTGATTTTGATTTCGATCGGATAAAATATTAATAATAACAAGCTTTGAATGTGAATTTTAATCGGACCGAAAGGAAAATAACTCTGACAATTGATTATCATCAAGAACGACACTCAACATGCTGAAGTATATATAATATAGGTATAAGTTGTAAAACAATATTAACAAGAAACAAGAAATAAAGGCAATCCTCGGCCCGCCGCAAATTAAATAGCCTCGACATTTGGTTTACAGCTTTTCGAAAATGTGAAAAATGCCGAGTTTGATGGGGAAATATCTTGGTAGAACAGAAAATATAGCCATAAGCCCATAAACAAATAAAGCTGTATAATCTCTATATATAAAACTGTTTGCCCTGACTGACTTGCTGATTGACTGATTGATGATCAACGCACAGCCCAAACCGTAAGAGCTAGGAATCTGAAATTTGCACTGTAGTTACCTCATGTGATAAAGGTGCACGTTAGGACGGGGTGTCGGGAAATTCCACCCGCAAGTGTGGAAAAAACGCGAAAAACGTTTGTATGAAACTTTTTTTTTACCATCCGATCGGCATCAAACTCATTTTCAAAGATATTTGTTTAAATTCATTTGCGGGGTGTTTCACACTTTTCGAAAAATCCATTCCTACCTGTCGAAAATGGGGGTCAAAGATTTGATGGGAGACGTTTCGCGTTTTCGCTCAAATTCACTTCCAAAGAATTTGGAAATCAAATGATTTCTCATACAAATAATCCCAGCTTAAGGGTGAATCTAAAAATATTGCTGAAACTCGTGCTCCCTAATTTTGTATGACACCCATTTTCTTTGGGCTTGGGTTGGGATTTTATAAAAAGAGGTCAGCTGGGGAAAAACAAAGGTAGCGACAGTGAAACTTGCCGCAGCAGACAGCATACTTTATAACCTGAGAACGTTGGGTCATGGGAGCAAAGGAAAACTTCTTAAGCCATACTCACAAAGCCCACAAACCAGAGCACCGCTCCGGAGCCGACCACATAGAAGGCAATGTCCCAGTTGTGCTCCTCGAGCGCCAGCCCACTGACCAGGTGCATGAATATGATGCCGATTTCGCCGCCGCTCAGCACACAGCTGCAGAGCAGGCCGCGCTCCGTCTCTGGCACCCATTGGGCCAGCAGAGCGCTCACGGCCGGAAAGGTGGGTCCCTCGCAAAAGCCAATCAGCAGGCGGAGGAGCACGAGTGCATTGGGGCCTCCGTTGCGAACAATTGTGGGCGTGAGAAGCGTTAGAAGGGCGGAGCATAATATTGCAGAGCCCAAGATCCATTTGCCGCCGTAACGTTCCGCCAAGCGTCCGCCCGGAATGTGGGTGATCATGTAGCCAGTGTAGAAGGATATTGTGACCAGAACCTGCACCTCCTTGGTCCAGACATCGGCGCTGTTCGACATTGTGATCGTCGCATTGTTGGGCAATTTTATTTCCAATTTCTCTTGTGGCACAGTTTCACGTGCCTGGGTTGTCCTCCTCACCGTATGAAGACTGACTCCCAAAAGTGGCTTTGCATTCATGGGAACTTTAGCGGGATTCACTGCAGCCAACTCATTGCAGTCCCGCACAATGCGATCGAGTGAGAAGTCCAAACACAGGCGTATGGTATAGGCATTGACAATGGCCAACAAGGTAAATCCGCAAAGGACTAAGCGCTGCTGCACCTGCAGATCTGTTCCGATCAGTTGTCATAACTTTATATTGCTGCCTTTCCTTCTGCTACTTACAGTCAAAGAGCCCTCGCAATTTACGCTGCATTGGCAACATTATAAACGAAAAATCAGTTTATAAAATATATAATAAAACTAACAAAAATATGTGAGTTATTTCACATCCATACAATGATTTCTATTCAACAAACAATTGTGAGGCTGGAAGATCTGGTAAGCTGAATTAATCGGAAAACCCAATCCCCTGGAAAATATGGATTGGTGAAATGATGTTTTTTGTCAACTTTTATAGTTGAGGGTAGGAATTGATGAAATTCAGTTGGTTGGGACGTAGCCGGGTAAAATTAGCTTAACTTTAACTAACAATTAAAAAGTATTTACTATAAATCACTTAAAGGACTCAAGATCCTGATTCTATTAAGAGCTTGAATCATCAACAGATTGGCTTCCCGCAAATAAATCGGTTTAGTTCTATCAAAGTTATGAGAGTTGAAAAAAAAAACGGGAAAGTAAGGATATCTCTGCACGCCGAAGATTTAATGCCCATGTAGGCATATCCCTTACCATTTATCTTAATAAATCAATCAGTGGTAGTGCATGCATGCATACATACATACATACATACATATATACAGACATACATACATACATACATACATACATGCATACGTACATACATACATACATACATACAAACATACATGCATACATACATACATACATATGTACATACGTACATACATACATACATTCATACATACATACATTCACACATACATACATACATACATACATACATTCACACATACATACATATGTACATACATACATACATTCACACATACATTCACACATACATACATACATACATTCATACATACATACATACATGCATACGTACATACATACATACATACATACATACATACATACATACATACATACATACATATATACATACAAACATACATGCATACGTACATACATACATACAAACATACACATACATACACATGCATACATACATACATACATACATATATACATACAAACATACATGCATACGTACATACATACATACAAACATACACATACATACACATGCATACATACATACATACATACATACATACATACATACATATACATACATACATACTTACATATTTACATACCTGACACAAAAACACAAAAAAAATGACCAAAAAAAAACACTACTCTACCAGCTAAGCATGAAAACGTGCAGAGCCTACTTGAATTCTTGAGAATCGAGGAGGAGAGCACTTGGTAGAAATTCGTTTTATTTAAATTGCCAGCACAGCGCCAAATAAGCTTGGTCTGCGTTTGGTATTAGAAAACAAACATGCATGCAACCATATGTATATTAATAAATACATACATACATGCATGCATACACCAACACACACACGTCCACACACACACTCACACACACACACAATAGAATAGAGGGGCACACTCAAAGTCTTAATTGGTTTATGCACTTTATTTGGACTAACATTATAAAAACAATTATGTTTTAACGATAACGTTACACATTGATCAACAATTAAAAAATTTCGTACAATAATTAAATTGGGTTGTTTTTACATTTCGCAATACAAATTAGATACAATCTATAATCTTATTTTTGTTATTAATTTTCTTCTTTTACTAGCCTAAAATTGAATTTCTTTTCGATTAAATACTAAATAATAATTAAGAGAGTAAATGGCTGCAGAGGGCCGAGGGAGAGGGGTGGGTGTTGGGGGTAACGGTTTAACAGGCAAATATACAAGGCACATATATATATAAAGTAAATTCGCTTAATCGGAGCTGAGGAGAGCGGGGCAGTTGGGCTAGGGATCTGCAGCTGAAGGCTTAAGGATTATAGATACTATATATACTTAGTTAGACAGCGCACTGGGGGCCGACAATTTGGCATACTATAAAACTAGCAATTGCAATTAGTTGATCGCAAGATGTACGGTGTACATTAACAATGTCTTCGGGAGCTTCCATGACGAATGCATCAAAAGTGATGTACCATAAACAGCCACATATATGTATATAGATATGTATAAGAGCTGGAGCACAGCACGGTTATGGCACTTTGGGTACGTGGACTCTAGGAGCTGTGCTGCATGGCCTTCAGTTTGGGCTCCGGCTTGCGCTCCTCGGCCTCGAAGTCGACGCTGCGCGGCTCGATGGGCGCATCGTTGAACGGCTGCACCTCGCCGGATGCCCAAATGCAGTAGACAATGGCCGTGATGAAGAGCACACCAAAGGCCACCCAGAAGACGGTGCGCCACTCGAGCAGCGAGGCGTTCGGCGTCATGACTCCAACCAGATAGGGCGTGATCACGCCCGTGATGGCTCCAATGCCGTTCGTAATGGCCATCAGAGTGCCGGCATAGTTGGGACTCATGTCCAGCGGACTGAGCTTCATGCCCGCATAGTAGGCGCCCATCAGGCCCATGCAAATGGTGAAGAGCACCACGACGAGGACGCGATCGCAGCCGGCGTATGAGGCGCCCACCATGAAAATAGCCGGTCCAAAGGCAGCGAGTCCCGTCATCAGCTTACGGGTGTTTGTTGTGTTCATGATGCCGCGACGGATCATCCAATCTGCCACAAAGCCGCTGCCCACCGACACGATCCACATCATCACGTACGGCAGAGAGGAATACAGACCGTTTGCCTTAATCGAGAACTGCAGCACATCGGCCATATATTTGGGCAGATCCGTTACCATGATATAGAAGCCCCAATCGTGTCCGATTTGGGCACTGACAAGTGCGAACATGGGTAAACTGGTTAGAATGGCCTTCCAGGGTGTCGGTGGCAGGTTCTCGTTGCGTCCAATTGTGCCGATCTCCTTGACGAGGTACTCGCGCTCGCTGGGCTTGATGAACGGATGGCTGCTGGGGTCGCTGAAGCACAGGAAGACCTGCAATTCAAAGTACAGTTGTGTATGAGTTAACAGCACAAATATCACCTTAAACAGAACTGTTAAGTTGAACTAGTAAAATAACACATTGAACTACAACAGACATAAAGCAGTTCCGACTCAAATCGAGCTTCCAGCTCAAAGTGAACTTATTTAGTTTACTGCAGAGTAAATTTGGAACTAGTGAACTATTTAAATACCAAATTAATTTGATTGGTTAAATACTAGTTTCATTTACACAACTATGGAATTGATTTAGCTCGTATGATGCTAATTGAATTATTCAAATACTAGATTGGGTTTATACAGATTAAATCAGTTAAGCTTCCAGATTGAACTACATTGACTAATTAATTAGTTCACTGCAGAGTAAATACTGAATGGGACTAGCAAACTGAACTAGTTAAATAGTGAATTATTTAAATACCAATTTAATTTGATTGGTTAAATACCAGTTTCATTTACAAGAATTTGAATTTGAATTATTCAAACTAAATTGAGCTTATAGAGATAAAAATTAGCTAATCTTTTAGCCTTCATTTTTTGAACATTGCTTTAATTTAATTTTACTTTACGATTAGATGGATAAAATACCAGGTGTAAATACTTACAAATATGACAAACCAAATAACGCCGAGACCGCCAAAGAAGTAGAACACAAATGACCAATCGTAGGAGTCGAGAAACACGCCCGACAGCATGTTGCCCATAATGGTGCCCACTTGACCGCCACCGAGGACCAAGGCGCCCAATTTGCCACGTTCATTAGCCGGCACCCAGGCAGCGAGCAGGACACTCAACGCCGGGAATGTGGTGCCTTCGCCGAGGCCCATCAGCACGCGGGTGACAATCAGCCAGTCGGAGCCGCCCAGGTTGATGGCCAGTGGGGTGAGCATGGTGAAGACTGCCGTCGAGAGTATGCCCAGGCCCAGGGTCCATTTGCCGCCGAATTTCTCGGCTAGCAGGCCGCCGGGCACGTGCGTGACAATGTAACCAATGTAAAACGAAGATAGAATCAGGCCCTGCAGCTCCTCGGACCACTCAAATTCGCCACCGCTGGCGGCGGAGCTTTCATCCAAGTCATCGGGCTCACAAATTGCATGGCTGTCATCCCCATCATCCGTATTGTTCTTCTTCATGACGAGCACGGTGATCGCCTGCGAGAGACAGACGCGCATCGTGTACGCATTCAGGATGGCCAGGAAGCCCATGATGGCCAATATCACACGTTGCGGCAATATAAAGTCTGTTGTTTGTTAAACAATTCAATTTGGTTAGTAAAACAATTAACAAATTACTAAAATACTAAAATACTTTGGCACTAAAGTGCTGACGTCAATGTTAATTTGCGAGTGACAATCGAATGCTTTTGGGTAATTTGAACAAATTAAATTGAATAAAGTCATTTAACATGCGCATAAACAAGCAAGTGAATTATTTTTGAAAGTTTTTCAATTTGAGTAGACTAATCAATTTGCGGTAATACATTGCAAATTGCACTCGACTGCCAGCAATATAAATCTCTCTCTCTCTATATATATATATATTAGCTAATTTATATATAGCTATTAGTCGGAAACGGATCTATAATGTGACCCAAGCACGTAGGTTTTTAGCTAGAAATCTATCGCTATGAGTTAAGCTAAATAAATTATAAAAATTATAGGAATTATTCAGCGATTAGATTTTGCCCAATCTACATATGTTTAAAAATATTTATGAATTTATTATATGCTCTTGTTTTTGTTTAAGTTTCTCTGAATTGTCGTTTATGGTTCAGTTGAAGTTTTTCATTTATGCCTCATATCATAATTTGTTAATTGAAATAATGTCTTGTGATAAGGCCAAAAAAAGGCCAAAGATTCGCGATAAGGTAGCCCCTGCCCAAATCCGAGGTACATATGTATATCAAGTGGGCGCTAAGCGACAACAGCTGATGGATCATAAAGCGGCAGTTGCTCGGCAATTAAAATTGTAGTCGAGTTTTTTATTATTTTATTTTTATTTTGGGGCTTTTAAATAGTCACAACAACAGCAACATCCAATTGATACGGGTTTCCGTTGATTTTCCAATTGAATTCTTGTATCTATTGAAATGTCGACATTCCGAAGGTTGAATTAATATAAATAAAAATAAGATTAACATTGACCCAAGCAACAACAAGCTTGTTAACACATTACCAAGCATCAGTCATTATATTAGAGCAGCCGAAGAGCTAACAATTCATGACATTATTATTAGAGCAAAAATAGGCATTGTTGATGTTCCGATTGTCAGAGCCGTAATTATCCACGCTTCACCCAACCCCAATCCAACCCCAACCCGAACCCGAAACCGAACTCTAGATTCCCGACCCAGGTCCAGTTCCGGTTTGAAGCTAGCCAACATCGACGTCTGCTTAAGATATGTTAATTGTGATGAGATTTTGATTTATTATATATCGCATCATATAAAACTCATCGACGTCACCGACTGCCAATTCGATTGGATCAATAAATTAGCATTCATAAAAATAAATATTTTTACGTAGTTTCAGTCGAGCTGACAATTTAACGATGTCCCAATATTTACCATACTCTTTAGCAAGTACTTTAACCAAAAGCCGACACTCGACGGCAAATTTATAAGCCATACAAATCTGAACCAAAATCGGGGGGCACATCGATAAGGCGGCGGAATACTCACACCTACAACTGGCCTATGTAGAGATGTATGCAAACGGGGCGCTAATCATATCGAGTGTGGCCGTAATTCACGCGATTCTAATGCCCAATCAGACGATATATATACATATATCTATATATGTATATATATATACAATCAAGATATGGTTGCGGAAAGTAAAGCATGTGCTAATGCTCAAATCCATTGCGAATCATGATAAGCGATAAGCACAATAATTGCTATAATAAGCGATTAATGAGAATTGTATGAAATACATTTCCGGGTAGACTGTAACTTCATTGTTGGCAACATTTAATGCAACTTTTAATACTTATATACGAGTGTATATGCAGCTTATTATTATTATTATTTTTTGTTATTGCTTTTTAAGTGGATAAACTTAATTTATTACGGGCTTAACATTAAGTTAATAATTATTGCGGGTATCGCAGATAAGACTTAGTCAGTTTTATTATCAGGTTGCGTGAACACATGGAATTAGGGTAAAAAGGGTAAAAAGAGTACATTAGCTTGGTGCAGATATATGCAACAGTCGAAAGGATTTAACAGGAAAATCAATGTACCCATATCTGCCCCTGTGACCGTATGTGTGTCCGCCTTAATCTGCGAAACTATAAGATCCATGAAGGAACTATTAAATTAATTTTGATATTCTAATGTAATCCAAGCTTCAAAGCGCTAGAGACATTAAATTCGGTATGTAGACTCTGGTGAAGAAAGATGGAAAATATTACACTTTTCGGACACCTCCCCAATTTTGATGAGGGAGAAAGCAGAACAATCCTAGCGTTAAGTAAAGAAAGGTTCAAATGTTTGCTACGGCAATTCGGCTGAGGATGCAGAGTATCTACTAGTTTTGCAGTCGCTTCCTACTTCTGTATAGTATGTATAAAATGTAAATGCATATATATGTATGTCTTGTAATCGGGTTTCTTTAGACATATAATGCATTCTCGTACTGGTTGGCTTTTGTTCTTGCGAAAATTAAGCACGAGGCTAAGTACGAGGCATATGTAAGATATGCGTTCATCGATCCACTTCGACTTCGGATAAGGCATGGAAATGTTTTAATGCCGAGAGGTCACTGAGTCCAAGCATGCATACATATATCAATGCTTGGCGCTTGGGGGGAGAAATTGTGAGAGAAAGCTTTTACTGATATAGGCAGCGGCTCAACAGAATCCAAGAATCGGGCCTACTCAAAAATCTATAAGTTGACGCATAATGGATGGCGAGTCACAAGTGTCAAGAGACCCATTCAAATCTTCAAGTACTTAAGTACCTAGCTCACGTTTAAAGCAACAAATAAATGTAAATAGATAAATGAAAAAATGCAAAACTATAAATTAATATTTTAACGCGTTTTTTACGTTGTTGACCGCACAGATAGCAGAGAAAATTTGCATATAACGAAAAAAAAACGCACACGAAAATAAATTCCAGTTCGAAACGTTACAACATTTTCTTTTTTCGGAAATACATTATATATTTATATACATATACTTATATTCTGACAAAAGAAATGCTTGCCCAAGAACCAAACACTTGTTATGAAACCCATGCGACAAAGAGGGAAAAGAGAACTCTTTTATTACATTGACCTTGCCCAAAAACAATGGAAAGGAAATGAGTGTTGGCTCTATAAGGAGGTCAAGCTACCGCTAGGCCCCATTGAAGGGGAAGATTACTTTATAGCCGGCAATTTTTATTTTGTTTTACGATCGCTCAACACTTTTATGATATTTCTACATTTTGTTTTGTTCTAGAAAACATATTATCAACTTCGAGTTTATTTGATTCGATTCTGAAATTGAATTCCAATTAAACTACAGTCGCATAAAAAACTAAAATTTGAACTATTTATATTTTAATATTAAATTTTTAGATAAATACTTTTTAATTATATCCCGGTCGAAGCAGACATACCCCACAAAGTGTCTGGCATTTGTTTTTTCAGGCTTAAGCACTTTTGTTTATCACTTTTAAATGACATTCTTTATTTACAATATATATGCCTAAATAACAGGTAGGCGTTTTATTCCGTTTTCAGAATCAAAAATTCAAGAATAAATGAACACGTTCCGTTATTTTATTTGGCAGGCGGCTGATAAATCCGGCTATAAATTACCCTGAAAAACTGGCTAGGTGGCGACACAACAAATATTCTTATGTACATATATGTACATGTATATCTGAATAAGAATGTTGACAAAAGGGCTGCGGAAATCTATAAGCCTCGCCACAAAAGTCCGTGCACTCTACAATCATGCGTAGACAACATCGCAATAGCAAGAACTCCCTGAGTCGAGCTTTATTTTTATGATTTTGACATGTTCCAAGTCTTTCGTCATCGTCGCGTCTTGTCTCGCCTTTCTTTATTCACATGCAAATTTGGACGAGACGCCGTCATATGCACATAGAAATAGGCAAATTAGAGATCGATAGACCGCAAGATTATTGTTGATTATGTTGACGCGTGCCTGGCATAATTCAGTTAAACAAAGATCAAGCAATATAATATCCGTAAGCAAAGCATGTACGAAAAAACAAAAAACTGAATCGGAAGTGCAAATGCAAAGAAACAAAAACGTTTTGTCATTTGTATTTTATGCGGTATTTGTGTATTTGTATACATACATGTGTATGTATGTACATATGTATGTGTGCTATATATGCTTAATACTTAAGTTCGCATTAAATTTTTGAAGCTGTTCTTGTTGTTGTTGCTGTTGTCGGTCAATGTCGGTTAAAGAATAATTAAAAAACATTTCAAGAATATTGAGACAGAGTTCAACGAATTCAAAATCCGATTGGAATTGGAATTCCCAATTCAAAACACAGCACAGCAGACACTACACACTCACACACCATACACATCCATTTTTGATAGAATCTTGTTACACTTACACTTTGATAAGCTTATGCCCCATTGCGGTTGTTGTGTCATCTCGGCTCTGTTTTCTTGCAACGTTAATAAGTTGGACAATTCCTTCGCCACGGTTACAAATTACGCTGCTCGTTGGCGCCGCGAACAACAATCACACTTGCCACACAGATCCTTTACGGTCGGTCACACTTTTTACTTTTAACACTTTTCACCGTAAGCGCGCGCGCAACAGAACAGACAGCGAAAGCAAGAGAGACAGAGACAGCAACAGTGTGGGAGAGGAAGAGGGACGGCGGTGAAGAGGGACCGTGGTGAAGAACCACACGCAACGACAACTTAAATCGTACTGTACACTAGACTGGAATGTGCAATGAAATGCACTTCTTATCCACTGAAGTCCTCTTTGTCTTTTTTCTTAGTCAGCGTGTGTATGTGTGTGTGCTTTTTCCCTGTCGCTACTCGTTTTAGCGGTTTTCACACCATACGATCTTCGCGCTTTTGTTCTGCCTTCCGCGCACGTCGGCTGTTAAATTTCAAATGAGAAATTATTTCCACTGACTTTAGTTTATATGCGAACAGATAAGCGCTGTTGCGGCTGCTGCTCTGCTTCAACTGTTGCTGCCGCTGTCTCTGGAGTTGTTGCTGCTGGCGTCGCTGCAAGCGCCGATCGCTGCGTCAAGGAGTCGTAAGCTTTATATGTATGCACATGTTTATATACATCAATATATTGCATAAAAACCCCACTCATAAAAAGCGCTATCTGACCAAGCCGCCCGTGCTCTTGGTCGACGTCGTCTTTCACATGCTTAGAGCGTTCCCAAGGAGCTTTGTTATATTTTACATTTGGTGCCAATTTTGTTTTCGTTCATTTAACTTTCGAATTGATGGTATATTGAATATTTAGCACTTGTTCGCTGTGAATCATTAACTTATCGTACACGCGCAACAGGTACTACAGAACTAAACATATACTAACAAGCTTTACGTGTATTTTCGTATTTATATAAAAGTTTAACTGCAGCAAACAGCGATTAAACTTCAAATAAAGGCAATTGTCTATATAAATTACTCTACATTCCACTGCAAGCAATGGAGTATATTGCAAATTATTTGCTTGTTTAAAATTCACTAATTGTTTATGTATTTTATGAATTCAAATATTTGAATTTTTTAAATTAAATTACAAATTATTAGATAATCTTTAGAATAAAATGAACTAAAATTTCAATTCATATCTTAAGCTTAGGTGTCAGAATGCATTTGATTTGGCCTATCATTCAGATACTAAATCATATATCCTGAAAAGTTTAATAAATTAAATAAAGCTTTTTTGTATATAGTTAGATCAATGCAATCAAGTCTGAATACACTCAGTACTCGAAAATAGAGTATTCAGCACGTGCAACCACTTTTCCCATATCAAACTTTTTTCACAAACTTAGCTAAAAACCGTTACTAGTTAAAGGCGGGTTTTTGCTTTTGTGCAATGCAATTAAGTGATGTTGGGGGGGTACACGAGGAGGAGGAGGAGGAGGAGGAGGAGGGGCTGGTTCTAGTAGGGTGCTAAAGTGAATGGTTTGAGTATTAGTCGACTGAGCACGCTATATTCGTACTGCATCTAGTACACAAGTGTGTATTAAAAAATTCTAGCTGAAATTAGTTTCGAGTTTTGTTACTATAATATTCGACATTTATCTGGTTGCGGTTTACTGCGGTTTAGTTATGTTATATATATATATATATATATATATATAGATATATATGTTCAAGTTTCTTGATGAACGAAACCTGAGCTTAGTGCCTACACTAAATGAGCTATCTAAATGAATGATCATTGCCTGTTGTAAATTGTTATAGTGGAAACGTGATACATATTCCAAAGACATCTACGTAACAATAAAATAATATCCGTTTTATTCCATCTTACCAACCCGACCACAACTATGTGGTAATGTAGTATATACATATAAATCATATAAACGATCGAATTTGTAGAATCTTATCAAAAAAACTTAATGTTGTTTCAACTAACTAAACTTAATGCTAAAGTACTTGAGGACAGTTTGGTATTATATTATATAGTCTGAGGACAGCTTAGTATTATATTAGATTATATATTCTCAATAAATGTGTATATTATGGGCATTCCAGGTTTATCAGTCAACTTTTTTATATTCTTATTATCAATGGCACACTTTGTCCAGACTGCAGAGCAAATGAACGATTGAACTCAACAAGCCTGATAATCAAGAGCAAACACTCGACATGCTCCGAAGTACCAGTATATATAATAAGTATAATATAAGTACTAAAGCAATATTTAAAAGTCTTGTGCGCTTGTGTTCGAAAGTGAAAAATAAGAGGAAATAGCATATTAATTGATAATAACGGCCATTAATTAAACAAATTTATTAATTAGTATTGCTATCAGCACTTTTATTTATGCTCCCCTGCTCCCAACTAACTCTCGAGGACACCATGCTTTTAATGAATGTAGACAGCTTCAATTAATGCGCGCGCCATTCCCATCAGATCTTATCCCAACATATCAAGTTGCCCCCACGCATGTGGTATGCTATATACATATGTATATGTAATCCGGTCCGATCAGACAGCTCGGAACTGCGTGTGATGATCTTCATTGTTGTTGATGTTTTTTTGGATTGGTTGCGGCTCTTTAATTGGTCACAAGTCAGCGAACTAGCCATCACCATGGTAGTCTGTAATTGAAATCGAATTGTTTGTATAACATTTAAATAAAAATTATGCCAAATAATAATGAAAAGATATGTTCTCCATGATATATCGAAGAGTTAATACCCTCTATATACTTTAAATTATATAAATGAGAATCGGTAGTTTGTAAGCCCCAGATTATTCCCGTGATAACTTAATTTATATGTTCTATTTATTAAACAGATCTGTTGGGAAAATAAATGGCGTATCAAAAAACGAAGAGGCGCAAACAGATTAAATTCTATATGAATAAAAATATTTAAATTGTTTGTATAAATTTTAAATAAAAATTATGCCAAATAATAATAAAAAGAAATGGTCTCTATGGTATATCGAAGATTCAATACCCTCTACATACGCTAACTTATATAAATGTGAATCTGAAGCCATTTTGTAAGCTCAGATTATTAACGTGATAACTTAATTTATATGTATTATTTGTTAAACATTCCAACACAAATATAGAAGAGGAGCAGACAGATTAAATTCTATATTAATATGAAACACACTTCGTGGACAGCCTATCAAGGTCTTATGCTAGGGTGTAGGGTATAGAAAACGACCGAAAATATCGGGTATAATATTTTCATGCAAAGCCCCAAATCCGGCTGAAACCGCTACCCGATTGTCCCTGACCGAAAACATTTCCGGTTCAAGCTGGTATATTTATGTATATATGTATGTGTATATATGTAAGTCGACTACGAATACTGGCCATACTCTGAATATCTAACTTTCATTCGAGTATTTTGCGTTATTTATTCGTACAAATTAATTGAAGCGTACGAAATAAAATGCCTTTATGGATGGACGTCTATTTATGGTATGCGCCTCGCCTCGCCCCGCCTCGCCTCGCCTCGTCTCGGCAAGTGTTTTGTCAATCAGTAAAGTGCGGACTGTGACCTCTGAATTGATGAAACTAAAAAAGACAGCTCCAATAGGCGCCACACTGTGCGTTTGGGTCAATTGAATACAGCTGAAACGCGTTCGACAGCAGAGGAAATACTTGGCACAATTCTGAAACGTACTCTGTCCATGTTCTGCATGCGACTTCGGATGGATCTCGGCATCAGGCCAAGCTGGTGGCAATAAGAATGTGCACTTGATTCGATTTTAAGGCAAATTACGGATCATTGCACCCTCTTTTTGCAGCGATGCATTTAACAGTCACATGTCCAAGTGTCGCTGTTCCAATTTTATTGGGGAAGGCTGGAGAACTAATTGTAACATGTGTCTCTTGCCGGGTAAATAGGGATAACCTTCATTAGGCAACAACTCTGACTCCGACTCCGTATCTGTGCGCCTGTTACGAGCAATAGGGCGCACTTTGGTGATAATCATTGTCCCTGACCTTGAGCTTCTTGAGGAGAATAAACACTTATATAGTATTATATCTGCTTATATAAGGAACAGCATCAGTACTGTCTAACTAAGCTAGTTAAGTAAATTAGACTTCCCTTTAAGTACTATATTTATCACTACAAAAAGAAAAAGCAAATATAAATTGAACGTCTTACAGATTTGGCAGTCTTCAACTGAATTCCCTTTCCAGACTCCAGACGAATATGTACACCGTAAAATTATTTTAAAATATTATTTTATACGTATGTTGTGCTAGCATTGGGAAGGAAAAGGGCTTTCGTATTAAAGAAGATCGCCGGAAAATACTGTGGCTTATGTATAGAATATGTATATGCATATGTTTATTAAATCGACAACAAATTATATTTTAATATAGACCTTTAATCGATTGGGAATTAACAAACATTCTGATATATCACATTAGCACTAATAAATATGGATACTATCCAAACATTCCCTTACCCGGGTATTTTTCATAAAGTTATACAATTATATTTACATCAACGATCCAACTCAACTGCGCTCAAATGTAAGTTTTTGCATAATTTTTCAGAATGTTCGTAACTCAGGCGGGTAATCACCGCTTTGTTTTTACATTGAGTACTACAACTTTGGCAAAAAACCAGTTAATAGATACTTCAACCATTAAAGTACTCAAATAAATAATTGCACAAAATGAGTCGAGCACTAAAACAGTTTTTGACACTTTGAGGGTCGCCGTGCCAGGAAAACCACAAGCTCATGGTATTAGTTGGTAGCTGCGGGTGTATTAGGCAAAGTTTTTGTGTAGTCGTGAAAAATCGTCACGAGACTTGAACTAGTTTAGCTGGACTCGAACAAGTATCTGTTGGTGGCAATCTCCAGAGAGTTGACGTTAAGTTGAGTGATCTCCAGGGGCGCCAGCGTATTGAAGGCTGTCAACTTAGCCATGTGTGTGTGTGTGTGTGTGTGTGTGTGTGTGTGTGTCGGAGTCGGCCAATGCGTTTTGATCTTTACCCTGCATTAATGTTGGGTTTTTTTTCCATATTTTTTCTATTTTTTTTTTTAGCAGGTAATATTCCTTGGTTGGCATTATCTAACTTATGTACAAGTCGTAAAAGTTGGCGACTTGCTATCTTAAATATAGCTTTTACAACGGTACTAATAATAATATACAGTCTAATCTTTATAGCGCCAGCAACTTTATAATCAGCGCGCGAAATATTCAATGACTTTTGTACCAAAGTCGCAAGAGTTAGTTACCTTAAAAATCTTGCTGATAAGATTTTCAGATTTCCATTTACGCCAAATATCCGATAGGATAGCATACATATATCCGATATAAATCTGTCAACATGTGATTCAGTTTATTGAAGTCGCACGCTTCCAATCCACATGTGGATATAATTGGTTTTTTTGGTAGGTGTGTCATCGAAACTCGTAATATCTTAATATCTTAATTGCTCGAACAGCTCATTAATGGTTCAATAGCAGTCGCGAGTGCCGCTTTATGGAGCCTTTTTTTGTTTGTTTGGCAAAGTACTCGTATTTGGCAAATTTCCCAAGCATTTTTAAGCTTTTTTAAATGCCCCAAATATATGTATGTACTCGGCGTATGCATTTACAATTCGTTTAAGTATATAAAATATGATAAAAAAGTAATAAAAACAAGCACCTGGTCTGGGGGAGGCCTGCTTATATATGATTATATATATCCATATGGATATACATATATAATATTTTATTTGCAAAACTCATTAAAAGTGTGAAAAGCTGTAAGAACCTTTAGCACGCAAATACTCGTATGCGAACTGTCCGCTTGTCAAGTGAATTAAACATTTAATTGTGGCATTTTTAAATATTTGCTCGAGTGTTTCCTAATAAACACAGCCGGATCCGGCAACCAGTAGCCAGACGGTTGGGGGCGGGCCGCTTAACAAAGCCAAACCTGAGACACAAGCGTGATGCAAAACATTTATAAATGATATTTTTAGCTGCCATTTATTGAGAACGGAAGTAAACGCCACTTATACACCTCCAAAGGATACATACAATCAATTGATTTCTTGTTTGATTTCTTGGTAGCGCATTCGATGTGTGAATATGCCTTCGAAACGGGTATTTTGAGTCTATTAACGGTTTTGGCTTGGTAGATTAATGACCTACTCTCTCCATACGCTTGCCATAATAACAATCTTTTTAATTTATAGTCTCAAGCGGCTGCAAGAAAATTGTGGAAAATTTTAAATTTAATTTACACACACACACACACACATACTCAAACAATGGAACACCTTGACCTTTCGGCAGGTGTAACGATTGTTCGTCTGACCTACGAACCACTCTTTTTAGATGCCGACAAGGCAAAAGCAAATAAATAGTTAGTAATACAATTAAAATATTGCTAGCATAGAATCCCAATCTTCAGAACACACTGATAAGATTAGGCTTACGCAAAGAATGCGGCTCTTTGACGAAACAACCGCGAAACAAACGATAAAAAGATGTTGAATGCTGTAATAATGTGAAAACGTAAACTTTGCAATTCTTAGATATTTTTAAAATTTCCCTATATTTATAATTTCCCTATATATGGTTCATATTAATAACTGATTTTTTCATGCCCGCCTGTTGCTCAAGATTGATGTAAGATTGAGCTTTTAGGCTTTTTATATATGTAGTCTCAAAAAGTTTTTCAAATAACAAGTGTGCCAGTGTCAAGTTTACTTATTTTGTTTCAATTGTGGATTTTGGATTTTGCAAGAATAAACAAATTTAAAAATGTTGCTGATAAGAACGATGAATGTTAAATTACACTCATTGCCGTACATAGCTGTTCAATATATGTACTCAGATTATTTGTTTGTTTATTTATTTTGTAATTTTAAAATAATTTGCTTCGCCTGCGCCGTTCTTTAAAATAACAACAACATGACATTGGATTGTGCGACCAGTCAACAACCCATCATCAAGTGTTTTCGCAGTATTGTTGGTGCCGCTGAGCCGCCGCTGGCCTTTTGAACTCGACACACATAAACAGCGCATTGCTTGGCCGTTAACCTGACGATGACTGGATTTCTAAATATCCAGAAAAAAATAGTTTTAACCTTTAACTGACAGCTCAGTTGTGAAAGTGCAAGATGCTGTACATTTTATATTGATAATGATCTATTCAAATCTTATCGATATTATCTCTGCAACAAATAATCGATTACAATATTAGGTTTTTTTTGGTATTTATTCGATAGGGCCCAGTTTCTTTTTACAGCTGATAGTGCTGCAAAACAACACAATTCACGCACGACACAAACTGGCACGCAAAATTTAGGAACAACAATTTAACGATAAATATACAATTATTATTGTATTCAATAAATGCAAAATGTAAATACGTATACTTTTTACATGAGTTGCAATTAATTTGTGCGTCTTGTGATATGAGCGAACAAATATCGTGCTGAGTCGTGCGTGTGTATATGGGGCCCCCGAATTTGTAACATCCCATCTCTATATTTGCACAGTTCGTTTTGTTTTTGTGCTGGAACAAACTTTATAGTTATAGGCGGATGTCGGAGGCTTAGACATGGGCGATAGCGACGATGCGATATGGCAAGAAATCGGTATTAATCCACAACATGTTGTG